TTTTTTTTTTAAGTTTGCCAACATTTAGAAGTCATATAAAATTGAGAGTAAAAAAAAAGAATTGTTTAAAGTTCTTGTTGCTTGAGATTGGAAATGAGAATGTGTGTAAAATTTTAAAATTAAATTGCTTGCAAACGTCAATAATTTGAGAATTTCCTCTCAGCGGTTCTACTTTCCTCTTTTTTTTATCATGAAAAATGCTACGAATGCGGAATGGCAATTATGAAGAACAAATAACATCAAAATTTTTTCCACAGTGTATTGAAATTTTCCTAATTTGGTATCAAGTTGATTTAAATTATTTGAAAAATCTTTACCATTACTCTGGTCTTTAAAGACCTAAGTACAGTAAAATTTAATGGGTTGTATTTTTGTGGAACATTTTAACCCGCTATTATTAATAGTGTGGGTCATTTCGACCCTTGTTTTTTTTTAGTAGTTGAAATTTCGCCCCATTCTTGTTGACTCATTAATCTGAAATTTGGTACGCGTTCTTAGTTCCTATGGCAATACAATTGCATGTATTCCATGTGAATCTACATAAATCCAAGATGGCCATCGCCAGCACTAAATGGCAATATGGCTTTCAAATGAAAGGGTTTGACTAGTAGAGTACAGTATACCATCAAAAAATTCAACTTCCAAAATGGCTGACCCCAAAAAAAGTGTTTCTTATCCCCTCAATATGGGTGCAATGCATTTAAAAAAACAACCCTTTATACCAAATAGCGGCCCAAACAAAATGGTTGATCATAGAGTTTAGACAGTCAATGCATTATCGGATATCTCGAAAACTGAGGGAGCAGATTACGTTCAAACAGATAAATGGACAAGATAAATAAACTCAGCGCAACATTTTTTTACTTTCAAGCATCGGGCCAAAATTATTATACCATTTCATGTTCATGAAAGGTATAAAAAATGGACCCTAACTGACTAGATTATTGGTAACTGTACTTTCATACGAGATTTTTTAAGTAATTTAGATCTACTTCAGACCAAATTCAACACACTGTAGAAACATTTTTTTATGTTTAGGGCCAAAAAATATTCAGAGCTCTTCCTCTTTCGTAGTTGCTAAATCTACTGTTTTATTTTTTTATTTTATTTTTTTTTTGGCTCTCAAGCACTGTACTTAGATCTGCCCGAATTTTTCCCGACGAATACATTTTTTACTTGTTTTTTTTTTTTGTATTTGTAGTAAATTTAAAGATGGTGTAATGTTAAGCCAAATATTTCTACAAAGCAAAAACTATTAAACAAAGCATTGACTGCTGCACACTTTTACCGTTAAAGAAAGGACCCGTCCTTGTGACAGTAAAAAAGTTTAGTCAAAGTTTTGAATAAACGACTGAGCTGAAAAGCTGATTGAAATATTTTGGCAAAAGTTTATGTAAACAGATTTTAAATAAAACTTTTTATAAGTTGTGTAGAAAAAACAGGCATCGAGTATTATTCTGGTCTTGTATGCAAAACAATTAACCAGCTAAGCAAGTTTTTTGCTTAGCAACATTAGCTTTCAGGAGCAAAATATTTTGTGGCTTCTCTATTTTCGCCAACTAAAAATAAACGTTTTTACATGCATACATATACATGCGTGCAAGTACATACATTTCTACCATGTATGCATATACGTACGTACAAAGTATTCTAAAGCTTTCAAACTTTTCATCTATCAGTTGCCAATAATCAGCAAAATATTTACATACACATGTTCGTAGCTATGAATTTATGTATGTGAACTAACTGAAAACAAACATGTGTACAAAAGTTTAGTTTTAAACAAGTTGATAATTGAAAATGAGCGTTAGGCAATGAAGGACAAGCAAGCATATTCGGCCTTATCCTGAATTTCCCCTGAAAATACATTCATACGCAAAAAGAGAAGTGAACGATTTCGGGCGAATATGAAGCTCATGATAAGGCTTATTAAAAACATACAAATAGAATTAGCTACAGTGAAATTTCTCCAGCATTCCAAGGAAGGTATAAAGTTCGTTATAAAATTAAATAAATTGTAAAATATCCGTAGTTTAAATCAAAACAATTCCTTCGAGACTATTAGAAAATATTAAAAACTGTAAAAACAATTATTGAATAGATATAAATAATCTAAATATAAATGGAAATAAATAAATACATCTATAAATTGCGTTAAGGAATTGCGTGATAACTTGGATACCTGAAGATTCTTCAAGATTCTCAGTAATACTTCTGTGTTTGTTATTTTTTAAAGAACAGTGCATTAAAATAGTATGAACAAGTGATATTTTTTTACCAATTCCAAAATTCAGTTTGGGATTTTAATGAAATCATTTATATAAATAGTACATATGTTTACTTTGAATGTACCAAAATGAGTCAGCAGAAAAATTTGGGCGTTCAAAAAAAGCCATCAATGGGTGTAAGTGAAGTATTAATTTATATTAAGAAATACTTAATACTGTAGTACTTAGTACAAAAGTTATAGCATCTAGAAACTTATATTTTCTTAGCAGTAGACAGTTTTACTAACTATAGTGTAAAAATACAAATAAAAAAATTGTTATTTATTTAGCAACTGGTAATAATAGCTACTTAATAAATGCAACAAAAACAAAGTATAATACTAAGGTAGCTTGAAATGTATTGAATACAATTGCAAAAGTAGCGATTAAGGAAATAAGCATACTTATACTACGTTTATACGCATGCATAAGTCGCTTTAATTCATTTCGCCGCGATTCAAAACATATGTATAAACTGGATTTCAATTCGCTTTGAAAGAGCGAAGTGTTTTGGTTCACACTCCATTTCAAATCGGTAGTTTATTTCTCCAGACAGTTAGAAAGAGTGTATAAACACCGCTCTCACTCAAAGCGAATTGGAGGTTAGGCGTTTCCGCTCAAATTCCAAATAATCGCATCAGTATTTAAAAGCTGATTAATAATAATCGTTCTTTTTCTTTGCCACGATTTTATAATGCCGAATAAAACTAGATTTTTATCACTTTCCATTACGTTAACTTATAAAATGTCTAATGAAAACAGCTGATTTTGTTTGCTTTTGAAGACGGTTACTTTGATGCCGATATAAAGCCGTAAGTATAAACACTAGAGCGAAATGTGTACGGTGTCAATGCGCTTTCAATTAAGTCGATTATTCTGTGCGTATAAACGTAGTATTATTTTTAACTCTAAAATCGCGCGAAGAATCAATAAGAAGTTAAATATGAACATGAAATTAATTAAATATTAGTGCATTCTCAGTATAATTACACTACGCAACAATATTGAAAAAAGTCAAAAAACTTGGAATGCCACATAGCACATTTTGTGGGCCTGGTCGAGTATTGAAAAAAGCATAGTTGAAATTTCAAATATACCATAAAAATCTTGAACAATGCAATTGTTGCAGTAATTTGTACAGTTTTCACAAGTTTGGAAAAGTTTTCATCCATTTTTAATTCCAGGAAATCTAAACATATGCATGTATAGAAAAAATATTTCATTATAATGATAATTTTCAAATCAAAATGAAAACTGACGGAGCCGTCGTGCGCCGCAATTGTGCTTCCCCTGACGGATTTCACTGCGGCAACTGTACAGATGTTCTCTTACTGCCGACTGCTTAGCCGTCGTCCGCTGTATTTCTGGGTAGAGCTTTATACGAGAAAATTCAATTATTTTTTATTAACAAAAATTAAATTTTAAATCATCCCCAAAAAATTTTTCATTTTAACTTCTTAACTCCGTCCTTTGGGCATCAAGAAATCCTTAAATAAATGTATGATATCTTGAATACTAGCATTCGGTTTATTCCAACTTTTTCCTTATTCCTACTTTTAGAACATCTTGAACTGATTGTTGAAAATCCTCACGACTCCTGTCCTCCCAATCTTTAGCTAAAATGAATTTGAATAAATTTGGCAAACGACGCAACCTGGTTAGCTTAGAGAGGGAAAAGTAATAGTCGCAAATACAAAATGTCACATTTTCTCACGAACGGTATATTTCCGAAGAAGTAATCGTACCGGCGCGATAAAAATTAATCAGTTTAGTTACGTTTGGGTTTGAACTGTCAAAGCAAGGGTTATTTTATTTAAATTTTAAACAATTCTAATAATAATAAAAGTTATTATCTTCCAACATGGATACACATATTTGTATTTTTTCTTTATTTTTCAGTTGAAACTTGGCTAGGAAATTAACTTCCTTAAGATTACACGGCATTACACAATAAAGAAAATTGTATGAACTTTTAAGTGACCTGGTACAGGTCGTACAGTTGGCCAAGTAATTCACTAAACTGCTTTCAAAATTTTTCTAGCATACACAAAATCTCAACTTATTTCTGGAAAACTATTTATGCATGACTTCCGGCACTGAACAATTTTTAGTTCGGGTATTTTTTAACCAATTTTAAGCTTTATATGGCTGATATCGCTGAAAGAAGTGTACTTCGTCCCCTGAAATTCAAAAAGACGTAACAAACATCTTCGCTGAAGTACAAAAAGGCGTAACTAGTAAAAAATTCAAAATTTAATTTTTGATTGGTATGATGGATTTCATCGAATTACAACTCCCACATCATTTTATGAAAAAAGTATTAGTTACGAATTTTTCCATTTCAGTTACGATGTTGTTACGTCTCTTTGCATTTTAGGTAACGATTTGTATTATTTAAAGAAACAATAAACTTTGTGAAAATAATGTAAATATGGAAAATTTTTGAAATAAATCTGAAATTAAAAAAAAATAAATTATTTTTTTTTCCAGTTATAGGAAATTTTTTATTAAAATTTCAAAAGCAATAGTCTAGCAATAGTCCATTTTAGTCATTACTTCGAAAATAATGTTTAATTCGGAGTAAAACTAGGCACCATTCATTAAAATCAATCAGAAAATTACGAAGTTATAATATTTTTTATAAAAAGACAAACTCAATTTTTTCTGTACCTTTGTTTTTGAAACCTCAAAATTAACCCAATATAATTGATAAAAATGTTCTCTGAAGTATTATGGAAGACATTTTTAAAAATCTTTTGAAAATTCCCAACTTCCGAAATTGTCTATTTATTTTTATAAATGGTACTCAGACTGAAACATTTTTTTCGGAGTTATAACAATAATAATAATTGGTGTAAATTTTAGAATTATTCCTAAAATTTTCCACATATATTTGAATAGTACAAAACAAATAAATATAAAAACTTAAAATTAAGTAAAGACTAACCGAGCTAAAAATTGTTTAGTCCGGGAGTAAAACTGAGTTTTTTAAGAATATGTGGAGAGCTTGAGGGTGTGGGTGGAGGAGGAGTCTGGAGTATAAAGTGCTTATTTACAATACAGTTTTAAAACCGATATGGACCTATGGATGTGAGTTATGGGGAAACGCGAGCAGCAGCAACATCGAAATCCTTCGTCGTGCGCAATTTAAAATCCTTCGAACAATCACCGGAGCACCTTGGTATATGCGAAATGAGAACATTCACCGCGACTTGAGAATACCAGAAGTACGAACCGAAATAGAACAATGGAAGACGAAATATGTATCGAAGCTTTTAGCGCACCCAAATCATTTAGCAAGATCTTTATTGCGTGTCGACAGGACCTCAAGACTACGTAGGAATGACTTACCAGCCCAGTCGTAATCTTTTCTTAGGGCCAGTTAAGAAAATACTCATCCCAACTAGGGGATGTAAATTAAGTGAATAGATTAAGATTCGAAAACTTATTGTTAGGCTCTTAGGCAGGGCAGATTCAATAAAAAACAAATATTAAAAAAAAAAAAAAAGCTTGAGGGTGTTATAAAAGTTTTAACATAGTTTCGTGAATTACTCGACCAGCCCTCCGAGTTGTGCTAGGTCACTTAAAAAGATTATGATCAGTGCAACACCGCGTTATTTGTAAAAAATTAATGTGAATACCGGTTCATCAGCTCTTGAAATTGGAGGCATGTTTTATAGAATATAATGCAGGTTTCGGAAATAATATAATTCGTTATTCTCGCAAAATTTCGCAAATATTTGTAATTTTTGGTATTCTTAATTTTCGAGTTTCAGCTTCTTGGAAAAAAAATATCCAAAACCTGTTAGATTGGCGTGTCGTTTCTTAAATTTTCGCCAACAATTTTTTTATACAATTTTTTGATTTTACTCATTTGTTTTTTGCTCGGCTAACTTGGAATTTTTCATATACTTATCAGCATACAACTACTTAAATAGATGGTATTTATGGAATTTTCTTATGTAATTGGAACTAAAAATCATATTTTGGCTTTTTAGTACGGCTTTTTCTCCCTCGGAGTTCCCTCCGTGAATTTTTTTTGCATCCAGTGGTGACAAACACGTTTTGTTTTGTTGATTTTTCATCTTTCCTCATCCTGCCCTTATATGTATAATTATTTAAGAAAAGTCTAATGTGGCTAATGTGCATATTTATCCAACACTCATTAGCGAAATTCATATATGATTTTTTGAATTTTTGTGGTGATTTATATTAAATAATTGTTTGCACAAGAAAAACTTTGTATAATGAAAAAGGCTAAACATTCCACTTCCTTCTTATGTTCAAGTCTTAATTTGCTTTGAATAAACAGTCCTATGTTGAGACAACTTATTTCACAATACTTATCCCATACCTTCCATACAAGAAGCTAAATCAGCGTAAATAAGGAAAAAGAGCTTACCTCATTTTACACCTGTGCTACATGGGAGCATCTCCTTTAAGCCAAATCACTTTTATTGTTTGGCGCCCTGCTGTTAACACAGAAGCTGTAAAGCCTCCTTTTAAAATATCATCAAGCGCATTGAGATACGTAATCATAATCCGCCCGTCTTTCAGAATATTTACAACACTTCATTGTATTGGGTTTTATTTTTTTTTGACTGTAAGACATTTCGATTTCCACTTACAGATAAGTATACCAAGACCAATCTGTATATATGTAAATATGTTCATTCAAGTAAATGTATGCAATTCTTTGTTTTCGTTTGTATGTGTATACATTTGTTATAGGCTTGTTTGTATTTTCTTTGCATTTATAAAAAAAAAAACAGCCTTAACTTTATTACACTGTCATTTCTGTGCTCAACCTACTTTATTTTCTTTCTCATTTCCTGCAACGAATAATTCGCGAATCACTTCAATTTCGTCTACAAAAATATACCTGGGTTACTCATACGCCATGTACGCTGATGCAGGTGCCAGCGCATGGCTTGCCGACTGGCGCGCGTAAAGGCTGCTTACCTTTGGGATTACCACAACCGCTGCTATTGGAGGAGAAGAAATTCCTGTTGGCGGTGGAACGCGGTGATATTGGCAATGTGCGCAGGTAAGTGTGTGAGTTAATATGCCTAAAGACATGTGTATCGCATACACTCTTCGAAAGAGGCACAACTCAAAAATCAGTTGCGGAAATATAACTGCTTGTGGATCGTACAGATTGAAGGCAATTAACAAAAAAACATTTATAAAGTAATTTTCGAGTAACAGAACATAATTATGAAAAGAAAATTATTTGCATTTATTGGAGATAAATATAACGAATGGATTTGTACAAAAAAAAAATGGAATTAATTTGTTTGAGTTGCGCCTCTTTTGAAGAGTGTGCCCGATATATGTACATATATGTATGTAAGTAAAAGTGCTGCAAGAAAATGCTGACAAAACTAAGCGCTGAAGTGCAAAGTATTTCGAGACGCATCGAAAACAAATTTGTGGCAAAACGGCTGTGCCGTTAACTTTTACTGTCAGTTTTTTTTTTGAAGGCACCCTGGTGTATGAGCGACTTAAAGTTCGCGTTTATTTTATTTTTTTTTGTTGCAATTTGCTGTTCAATGTTCGCATTCCTTTTGACACTTACATATATTTTCACGTACTTAGTGAAATACAAATTTATCGTGCTTACATTTTTTAAACTATATTTGCGCCCATGGCGCTGATTTTCTTTGTTAAATGCCTTTCACTTTGCTTTTTTTGAGTTATCTTACATTGTGTTATAGCTGCAGCATTGTTGACAGGCAATTTACTTATGAAGAGCAGCAGTAACTACAACCTCTTTTGATATTTAATAAACTCAGGTGTAAAGCTAATGAATGCTGCGGAGAGATAGTGAATTTTTGCGCGGTTCCTTGTATGCGCCAAAAGAATTTGTTCTGAGGGTGAAGAACACTTTGCTTCAGAAGCACTTCCTGTGCGAGTGTTTTTTCCATAATTTTTTTTTATACATTTTTTTTAATAATTTGAAGATAAATATACATACGTAATTTTGGTTTGAAATTTTTTTCACAAAACTTCTTTTATCAACCCTTGAATGACCTTCGAACTTCAATTCGTCCTGGGCTTATGAAATGAGTGAACATGTCTTTATTGGAAAACGAAAAAATATGATTTAATGGGTAGGGTATGCTCTACTTTTTGGTCGTATTACCCACTTCTGGTTTAGATATCAAAGAGATGGCTGAGACATTTGGGCAGATATATTGTCATTTACCCGTCCTTGGAATTAATCTTACACCTATTTCTCTACTTATTGAGCCCAACCCAGTCGAAATAACCCGTAGATTACCGGTATAGGGAGGGTTAAAAATATGCTATCACAGCAGCAACCGAGGATTTATCTTTGACCAGAAAGAAATCTAAAAATTTCCTACTAATAGTGATACTTCTGCCACGAAAAAGGGTTTTTTTTTTATAAAAATCATCTGCTATGCGAAGGCTGTGAAATGCCCCATAAATGTCGAATATTTTTACTCATAAATTTTAGCTTATTCCAAATGTGATATGAGCAGTAAACTTAGACGATTAGCTTAAATACCTCGTCTCTGGGACTACAAGAGCAAGCCTTGTCGCCTAAAAGATTAACTTTGCCTTATTTTCGCTCGTACTCTGGACTATTGTAATTGATGGATGAGGAACCTTTCATAATTTTTTTTTTTGGACCTGTGTAATTGATCAAGCAAGCGCAGGAAGAAGGAAATAAATAAATTTATTGCTTCGTGTATTCAGTAAGCTGTAGGCGATATAATTAAAAAATTGAAGTGTGCATTCTACTTACAGCTACGATCGGCTCCTATGGATGTAAATTTAGAGTAAAAATTAAGGAAGAAATTAATGTATTAGTGCCACTATAAGGTAGATGAGGAATGGTCCTAGAACTTATACATACAAATTTTTTAAACCAGCCGTGAAAGGACGAATAAAAGTGATGGGTGTCTTCAGCTCTAAGGGATTTAAGAATTATTACTATTTTGGGCGTTTTCGAAAGGCATCCCACCTGATGAACCCTGATTTCATATTTTTGAGTAGCTCAAATGTCTTAATTTTCATCTAGCGGCAAGCTCAGGAAAAGGGCAGATCCGACGGGTTTGGGTTGTAAGTGGCGCACCATGGCATCGATGATGGGATTCAAGGGATGGGAGTTGGCGAAGTTATCGATTGATTCTCTATGAATAGCTTTTCTATTACAATAGACTATATTTTGATTGTCGGTCTGGTTCAGCGGATGGTGTACGTATGTATTTTCATTCCCAATACAGTCATTTTTATTTTTGTATTTTTTTTGCGCTAAGGTTCTGGTAAATGATGCGAATAATTCTGATGATAATAAGAATTTACTCTAAACCTCACCGGCATATTATTGATTCGAGGAAATATTCGTTTTCATGAGGTTGTATTCCTATTCTCATCGTTTGCCGGAGCCTTTACATGTAATCCAAAATACTTCGAACTTATTTTGTCTTATTGATTTCTTAATTAAATCTATACCTGTTGGTATTTTGGTCATAATTTCTGACTAATTATAGAGAAAATATATGTGAAATCAAACAGGTTCAGCCGGGTTTTTCTTAATTTGAAAATAAGCAACCGTTTTCTTCCAAATTGCCATTTCGAAACAGGCGAATAATTGAACACCCTAGTGTGAATGCAAACTAGTGGCTCAGCTTTCGAGATATCCGACTGAAAATTGGTAAGTGGGCGCCTTTTGAACTAATTAATTGTACCGGGTCTGCTGAGAAAAACGCTAAGACCGGTGCTCTACAAGGTAGTCAAGCACTATTTTACTTATTTGTATTTAATTTTTCGATACTTATAATAGGTAAATATTAAGTGTTGGTGGTTTTAAGACTTAGTCTAACACTAGCTAAAATACCATGTGGCTTGTTTGCGCTTTTTTGCCTGTAAAAATTTAGCACGAACATTTAAGTAGTAGTTGCTCTGGTACCTTTCAGTCTAACATTTATATGCGCTAAATGCAAGTATCTATATATGTAGGTATGAAAAAGTAGACGACTTCGTTTATTTGGGAACCAGCATTAACACCA